TAATCAAAAAAACGTGACTCGATCTCCGCCGATACCAACAAGTTCTGCTTAGCAACTCATTGTGGAAATAAACATGGGTTTGTGTATATTATTAAATCAGTACATAGTTTGTTTCTGAGTACATTATGCTATGTATTGTTTAGAAGCAAATAGTACAATGTTTGTGGATAAATATGTACAACTTTATACAATGCTGGTAATGTTATTTTCTTAACGTAGAGTATTTAAATTATTATGTAAATTTATTTTATGCATTCTATTTGTACCTAAATGTAATGCGGATTGACGTGTGGTGACGCTCTGGTAAAATGACTATTCCAGCTTCATCCAGTTTTGATATGCATTTAGATAAACAAAAAAATAATAATTTTACTTTTATATTTTCGCCCTTTTATATAAAATCGCTCTTTTATATTTTCGCCCTATTTGCAAAAATAAATTTATTGTTACTTTGTTTTAATACTGACCAAGGGACATTTAACAGAGACCGAGTCGTTTATATGTTTTTTTATATTTTTGTCTGTATAAAATTAATATGGTAGAAATGTTTGAGGGGAGAATATAATCCAGTTTCATCTCCCGCTCAGTGTGTGTGTCGAAAAAGAGTGTCAAACTCTTATTAAAAAATAGCCTTACCCGTCTTCTACACTGTTCCGTGTGTTATCCCTTTTTTTAGAATTCTGACAATCCGTATTTCATCACATGAAGCATTTACTTACCGTTAGCCTTCCAGAATCCAATTAAATTATCAGCGATATTGCAGAAGTTGATATAACAAATTTGTTAATACTAGCGTTTAATACAACCGTGTCAAGTCTATTTATGAATCTAAATTCAGATAGATGTAAAGTCACGAGTGTAAGCGCAGTTATGTAAGTACATATTATATACCGCATTCCTTGCTGCTTGGCTTGCTATAGACCAAGATCTACAGCAAGCGACAGAATGGGTTGTTATTTTGTCAATTCAGAAGAGTCTAACATATCTTCTCTCTTCACATAATTATGAAGCGAAAAGTCATTAGATGATTTTCCAACCATGAAAAAAGACGTTCGTCAAAAGGTCATGAGAAAACTTGGTAAAGAGCAAGCTGCAATCTTGTCTAAAGATGATCTAGTGATGTCGAAGACTTTGTTATCACTTTGCAATTTCTTCGGGAAAATCCATTAGTGTTATGATGTAGCGTTGTATAATTCTAGAAGAGCCTATGTTAATAGGAAAGTATCTCATTTAATTATTGTGTTTTAAAACTAGTTTTAATGTTTTCTTATATTAGTTACCTATTGTTTATTTTTTAAATACACTTGAATATTTGTATTACTGTGTTTAACAAAAATTTGGTTGAAAAAGTTAAAAAAAAATAGTTTGAGTTTCATGACAGCCGCGTTCTCGGTCATGCAATACTGTTCATTAATATGATCCCCTACTTGAGCTTGAAACTAGTCAAGTGGTTTCACCAAATAGTTACGCGGCAATAGCTATAAAAAAGAAAAATCATATTCTTTTCGCACATCATTTGGAGCCTTTGATAGGTAAAGAATATAACAAAGATTGTCAATAGATCTTTTAAGTAAAACGAACCATTCAATCCAAAATCCATTTATACAAACCAGTAACAAAAATTAAGAAAGTATTTCTACCTTTAATTTATCGAAGGCCTTAGAAAAACAAAGCATAAGTGTAATAAATAATATTGACTTTCTTATTTTTCCCCGTTCTCCAATCTTGGCAAGACAAAATGCTTGCCGAGTTTGCCGACCGATTACTTCATAATTTCCGGTGGATATTGTTATATCGAACAAGGATCAGTAATAATCCTGGCTGCTCAGGATCATTTATTTTCGTCTGTAATATTATTATGACATCTATTTTTCTTTTGGACATTCATAGGATTTGGGGTAACGTAATATTTGTAGAAGGATTTGCTTAGAGATACTTATTAAATTATGAATGTACGTTTTCTTTAAGACATTTTTTATAAAATCAAGTTTAGGTCTCCACTGATTTGTGGTTAGTGCCGTTGTCGTCCAATCGATGTTTTTTATTAACTTTTCTTTGAAGTTATAAAAATTTACAATGTGTGTAATTTATTGAGGTAAATGTATTTGTGTATTCCCGAACTTATCACAATAATATACATTGTAACTCAAACTTTTAACTATTAAGTATGTTATAGCTCCCCTGTGATTGGGGATGGACCTATTGATATATGCTGAGAGCAATTTTAAACCAGGAAAGTTCAAAAATACAGTAATCTGCTCTCACACTTACGGAAAATGTAGATATACATGCTGCTGAAACAAAGTAAAGTTACAAAAATAGCACAAGGAAAAATATATCTTCGAAAATTATAGTTTTAATGTTATACTCTTGGATTTACGACAACACTTTATGTCTTTTCCAGTACTTTTATACATCTACGTCCCATATGCTACAATTTGTCGCCTCATGGACACATTAAGAGGAATATCATTTCACTAATGGACCGTTCTTTATACGTATGTAGGTGTAAAAAGTTGGTGCAAACAGCCCTTATGCTCATTCAATATGCAGAGGTGTTGATGTGCGAAATATTTATCATTACCATACAATTGTTTTGTTAGGTGGAGCGTAAGCCGAAAAAATGTTATTTGTTTTTCATCAAAATGTTACAAATAGGGTTTTTGTGTTGAATATTTTGATGGAGCTTCAATATATCAGAGATAGTTCAATAAGTTTATGTTTATTAATATATGTTTGTGAGATGCATTCATTGAAAATTTTTTTTCAGGTCAGCGTCGTCAGCATTCATAGATAGAGGTAGTATACGGTTGGTGTCTTGGCAAATTTAGCCTGTTTTGAGTCAAATACCACGGCCTCGGCTTGGAGCAGAAGGAGGATCGGGTAGGGTTTCTATTCAGTCAATTCCCTTTCGCCATATCATAGATAAAAGAAGTAATATGACAATTTGACGATCCTCCCTCACAAAAAGGTGTCTAGGCTTATTTAGTTATTGCACTTGTCTGTTCGAGGGCTAAAAATATTTTTACTGTAGTTGAAAATATGAACAGCCTATAATAACTAGAAACCTGTTTGATCAGTTAAGGAATCTCTTCTAGGAGGCGAAAGAGCTAATGTTACGATAACAGAAAACTAATAGGCGTATGCTAAAAATGGAACTCTACACTGTACAAAAAACTATCTTGAGGGGAAGGGTAAGAATGGATAAATTATTATGATAAAATTAGTAAATTCTCCATTTTCTTATGTGGAACGTGAACCGTAAAAATGTCGTGACACATCAAAACACAGGCGGGTAGAGTAAAATTGAGGTAAGTCTATTACTAAGTGGATAATTTATGAATATTGAATGGCGTCAATGTCGTCTAACCTGAAAATTATTTTGGAGCAAGGTACTGGGTGTACCTTAATCCAATATACCGTACTAGATTTTATCAATTCCAGTACCTACAAGTACTTTGTAGGTAAAATATTGTTGTCATATTATTGTATTATTTTCATTTACTTTTGACAGTCAATTGCTTAAGACTTTAGGGTGACGAAGCATGTTCCCATAATTCTTATGAAATAATGCAAACACTTAAGTCAGCTTGTCACTGGGCTCGATGTTCAGATTTTCCCAGCCATACAATAAAATGACCATGTTAGTACGAATTAAAATTACTTGTTCGCACATCATTATTGCAGTTTCAGTATTACAAGTTCATCAAGGCCAGTTTTATTATGTTTATTTTCCTGTTTAACATGTAAATACTTATTTTGTTTTAATATAATTATTATGATATAGTATAAGTACGACGATGGTTCCTCTCCATAGTTTTATTTTTCTGCACGATTTGTTGTATCAAATGACATAGTTGATAAAATGAATGGACCCAAAGTGGATCCCTGTGGAACCCCTTAATTTAAATAGTAATTATAACAGTAAACGTTGTTAATAGCAATAAATAATGGCTTTGTTAAACATTGTTTCCAAAGATTCACTCGACGGAAAATTCTATAATTATTAAGACACCACTGATATACGGTGATGGTAAACATCGTGAGGAAACCTGGACTTATAATTTCTAATTATAAGTTTAAAATCGTCAACCCGCATTCAGCAAGCTTGGTGATTAATGCTCAAAACTTTCTTTCTTTAACACGGTACTACGTATGAAAAAAGAATTTTGCTTAGCTGTGGGCACTTATAGGCTGATGATGATGACTCGAAGGAAAATCCTTCGGTAAGTAATCTTCTAATTTCTTACCTTCTCCTATTTTGATTTTTACCAGTCAGTATGTAACAGTAGACACACAGTCATAACTTGTAGTCTTTAACTATTCCACTATTTATAATTTTTCTTCGAAAACACAAATTTCTTTAAGCGTTTAAGCAAAGAGGAAGACTGCTTGAGTATTATTACTGGTTTAGAACAATAAAAAAAATTGAAATGTCCTTTGTCCGTTGTCTATTGCCAAGGAATTTTATACGAAATGTGAATATGAGTATTGCTTTACGTATTGTGATCTGTTGGATAATTCTCTATTTGATTGATTATTTGTTTTAAATCTTAAAAATAATAATTAAAAGTGTTAATAAATCAAATACGTTTTGCATGCATCAAAAAACTTTATATTCTTATTGCAAAAAAACATCTTTTATAAAATTTCACTAGACAGCCACAGGTCGTCGGTTATAGTCTGAAACAAAAATAAAATAATTTAACATTTTATAGGAACACCAAATTAAGGAAACTAAACTTGGGTGTTATAATTGACCACTGCAAAGCAGAAGTCCTTTATTACCTGGAGAAGAAATTAACATTAATCACGACACTTTCTCAAAGCATATGGGCGATTACAAACTTATATTTTGAGTTTATAAGTCCAGTTATTTTTCTTTCACTCTAACTATGTATTGTATACTTGAAAACAACATACAACTCGGCAAAAGTCACTTCTCACTTTCAATCTCGAACAACCTATCTTTATGCATGAAAAGCGACATTTTGACGTATCAACGACAAATTAATTTCACAGAACTTACATTTTAACTACACTGATCTGTAGGCACACATTTTCCTTCAGCATTTCTCAGGTAACCATCTTTACAGAGACAGGCAGGTCTAAAGCACCCTGCTGCTATAGATGGGCATGGTGGGAAATTTTTCAAATGATCACACGTCTTGAAGCACACCTCTAAATCGCATTTGATGTAACGCTCATTTTCAGGACAATCTGAAAAAGAAAAACAGTATATTTATTGTCGGTTTGTTGCATTGATAGTGTGTATCATTCTGGTCATTAGGTAATCCGTTATCATTTGATAACAACAACATCTACAATGAAAATAAATATTATAATTTTGGATTTAGTGTAAAATTATATGTTTTATGTTTTAAAGACTCGACTATGTTCGTTTATTCTAAGATGGGCTTTTGTCAATTATTATAAGGTACGCTGTAATGAATAAGAAATTTTACTGTAAAATGTACGCAATGTAAATCATGTGTGAAGATTATAGAATCACTTTATAATATTTACAAAACAATTCAAGTTATTTTAGAACTCACCAAAAGGTGTTTGATCAGCAGGTACTGCAGAGACAATAGTTAAAGCAGCGATAAATAAACAAATAGGTAAAATGTAGGAAGCCATGTTGTGAGCGACGCGTCGGTAGATGTAGATATCTTACACACTAATGGTAGACAGAGGCGTCAGCTTCATTATATATACATCGTAAAGGCAACAGAATACACGCCCACGAAATATATTTCCTCATTTGTACGAGTGTTCTATGAATAATTATTACATTTTACTGCTTCTTTGATTGTGTGGTCTTAAGATCGTCTGCTAAGTTAGTGATGTGATTGCTATATCGACAATATTTTTTTTTAGTTTATTTTCCGATATGAGCTGACTAGAAGAAGGAACGGGATGGTTTTTAAAAAAGTCTGACACTCCCGGTCAGCTCACCCAAAAGGATTGTGTGACGTCATGTAAAGGGGGTTATTTTGCTCAATACACTACTTCTACCAATACTTTATAACAACACTCTCTATTTTAGGGCGCATGCATGTTACTAATTACAGGGTAACAAATTTCCAAAAACATATTTTAAATATTTCATATAAGTTTTAAATAATTAGAAAAGTGGGGTGGTCCCGCAATTAAGCCCTGGAGTACTCCTGTTTTGTGAAAAATATAATCTTTAAATATTTATTTTTAATAATTATGTGTAATATAAATGATTACTCATAGTAACAGCTACAATATAAGGTAAAATTTGAATTTATATATCAGTCATTATAACTGTGCACATCCTTGTTTAATGTCATTCGGATCGTGGAATTGTACATTTTAGGTAAATTTTTGTTTATTGTTCATCGCAATAGAATAGAATAGAATAGAATTCTTTATTTGCAAAGAATGTAGGTACAAATTATTTGGTGTTACACAGTTTTAAGGTTCCTTGTACATTCTACCAAAATTGGCATGCAAATTTATATAAAAGAAATTAAAAATTAAAATTAAAAAACTAAAATTAAAAAATTAAAACTAAAAAATTAAATTAAAACTTATCATCCAAAAATTCTTGAACTGAATAATAACACTTGCGCAAAAGTAATTCTGTAACGTGCTTTTTAAATTTTGTTAGTGGTTGTTCCTTTACAATATTCGGTAGCTTATTATAAACAAGTGGCGCCATACAAATAACGCTTTTTCTTAAAAGTGTTGTTTTGAAAACACCCGTGCTTAACATATTTTTGTATTGGGATCTAATACTTATTCTTCTATTTCGAGTTTCCTTCAAGCTTGTAAACAGGTGTGAGTTTGTTTTAACAAATATACATAATTCAAATATATAAAGACATGGGAAGGTTAATAGTTTATGAGACTTAAATATAGGTAGACAGCTGTCAGTTACTTTTAGGTCAAAAATAGCTCTGATGCAGCGTTTTTGAGCTTTAAAAATACTCTCTTTCTCGCTGCAGTTGCCCCAGAATATTACACCGAACCTTAAAAGTGAAATAACTAGTCCGTGATAGGCAACCAGCAATCTTACTTATTATATTTTTGTAGCTTATTCTAAAAACCAAACACCTTTTGGCGAGGATTTTTTAACTACACTGCTCAGTACCAGTAATATACGTATAGTACTTGCAAAGTACATAATTATACATGTTTTTCAATTGGTGCAACTAAAATTTGAATCAGATATCCACATTTGATCGTTTCGGGACTAGCTCTGATGTATTTTTGTTGGAAGGAGCGTTGAAATAACTTCAGAAACAAAAAAAAAATAGGAAATTGTCACATTTGGTGCTTGCCAGGATTAAGACGAACCACTATTTTGCTTACACACCACACACACATATTTAAAACAACAAACCATTGAACCAGTTAATGACTTATGTTGAAACGAAAATAGACGTTTGGTGGCGTCAGTCGATTTTTTGTACAAGATCCACGACTAAGTTACGTCAAGACGGAATCACTACGACTGTTGACGTATATTTTGCCGTATGTGACGTTGATGGTTTATGAATAGTTTTTATAAATCCCAATCCATGTTTTTCATCATACTTCTTCACAATACATAGCTAATATTATTCATACCTTTAATATTTCACTAATTATTAACTTCTTTCGAGAAATGAGCGTACTCCTGCCTTATAGACCAATACTTCCTTATAGAGTGCTGCATATGGATACCCTCCTTGTGCTGCGCTGATTACTTACTATAAGATAATTTGTCTGTTCGTTTGCCTACTATTCCACAAAAAACTTCAGATTCAAAATTATTCAGATTTTTTTTGAAAGTTCACCAATGGCATGTTTACCAAGAATTTAAACACTACACTCATAAAGCTATAAACAACTACATAAACTACCCATATGTAAGTGACAATTAATGTTAACAAATAGCAAACCGATACCGTCCCACGTATACCTACCACATTTGTTATGGTACCTACCTTACAAAACGGTTGATCCCTGCCATCGCAACTTACTCGTAGGTACGAGTTTTTCAAAAAGAATATATAAAAACTATCAATAGGTAATCATAATAACTCTAATGTTTACAACGCACGTAGACTTTGTCAGACAACGAATAAACCCGTCAAACTTCTTACAGATATAAATAAAGAAACCGATGCCTTAGCTTATCATTAGTACGAACGATAGCTTTGTCTAACGTTGTATTCAAAATGGCGTCTTCTGTATTATCTGTTTGTTTGTTCGTGGCAATTCTGACTGTTGTGTCATCTGCTCCAGCTGATGAGAAACCTTTCGGTGAGTTTTTTTTAATATGGTTTAAGTTTTTAGGATTAAATTATTATACTTATTTTTCTATGCTTTCTCCTTACTACGTAGTAGGAGATTAAACTTTCCCTAATGAAATCGGTAATACATGGGTATCCCCTTTTAAAGAATGCATCTACATATTATTATTTATTGTAAAATTGGCATTGCTTGCACAGAAAATGTCATGTGGCCTCACCACAATACTTTTTGTTTAGGGCCTTTTTAATGTTAAAGGATTTTTTTAAATGCTTCAACATCATTTCTATTTATTTGTACCATCTTTTTCAGACTGTCCTGCGGGCGAATACTACCTTAAGTGTAGCCAGGCAATGTGTTTTCAAAAGTGTGAACACTTAATAAACCTACCGGCCTGTCCATCTCTTCACCCGAGCTGCTTTAACCCAGCGTGTTTGTGTGATAATGGCAACCTGAGGAATTCTGAAGGGCAATGTGTGCCTCCAGACGAATGTTGTAAGTGAAAAAAATCATATTGAAAAAATTATATAGATAGGTTAGGTTAGGTCACCCTCTACTTTTGGGTTTCTATACAAAATGTGAAAAATTTACATAACTTCTCAATAAGATAAATTCGGCCTTTCCGCTCGGGTATCGAAAACCGAGTACTGAAGTTTCGGGATTTGGGTACAAAATAAAATAAAAAAAATTAGGCTCTTTCTGCAACGCTATAATCCAAAACGTTCCTCATCTTGCATTTTTATTTAAATTTCGCTCACATTTAGCTATTTCATAGGGTTGGACGGCTAACGAGCATAAATATGGATCACCTGATGGTAAGCAATCGGTGTTGCTCATGGAGACTCGCAACGCAATACAAGTTCCCTGAAACTTTTTGGGAGAGAATCATTTGGGATTTAGGGATTTTAGAGTTGTAATTCATATACTATCATCGAGGGGATATACAATGGGGATTATGAGAGGCCTATTGTAGGTAGGCTGATTACTATCGATCTGGTCCAGCTGCCTGAAATTATTTGCCAATTATTCACAATATCACATATCATATGTCAGGTACATATTAAGTATATAAGATATTTATTTATATGTTTATTCTTTTTTACAGACCCAAACATGCTGGATTGAAGACGTATATTGTTACATTATCAATAAAGTTTTTTGCACATAATTAAGTTGTTTTTCTTGTCATTAGTTTTAGTACATTATATTAATGATCGTCATGATTATCCTAAAATAGTGCCTGAGCGAAGACCTCTTCTTACACGGAAAAGGTTTGAGCATTAATTTAATCAAAATCCTGTGGATAATAATAATAACAAACACTTTATTGTACACCATTTTTACAAAAGACACATACAAATTTAAAAAATAAAAATAATTTGACAAATTGGATTGACGGTTTTAACTAATAAATTAGAAATTATGTATAAATTCGAGTAACCGGAACCTATACGTTGGTACTTTAAAGGCTTAGAGCCCTAACCCTGACAATATTTGAAAGACGTGTACGTGTACACCCAGACAACCCTGACAATTGGGTAGTTTCCTAGGTCAATAATAAATTAATTCGACGTGTCAATACAATAAAATATTGAAAAATATCTATACTTTTATTCATCGATCGGTCGATACACTAAGTTTTAGATTTTTTAGCTAATTATCAAGAAATAAGTAAGATATTCGACGCCAAAATGTTTTGATGTCTTATGCCAGTTTTTCATACAAATTTCATAGAAAAGTATCGTTTTTGACGTTTGGATAAAAGTATTGAATTTGACTAGTTGGAAACTACCGTATTGACATGAAGATTGAACAACTGTATCATTGACTACATTTCACTAGTTGTCGAACGTTGTATATTAAAAACAGGAAATAATACCATAGTTCAGAATATTAAAGTTTTCCTTATATTTGTTATGTAAAATTTACTACGTTTATTTCTGTGGTTTATTGTGGGCCACAAATTAATTTGTCGTTTGGTTGGTAAAGGTTTTTTGATATAAATAATAAGACTGTTAGTGTTCACTAATCATTAGTACAGTCAACATCGTTGTTTGTGGTTCTAAAATAATCAAAATGGCTTCCTGTATAATACCTTTTTGGTTATTTGTCGTTGTCTTGACTACAGTGTCTGCTGCCCCACCTGATGAAAAACCTTTGAGTGAGTGTCTTTTCATGTTTTGATGTATTTTACGCATTGGAATAAATGTAAATCACAAATCTGATTTCTTTAGTATAAAGAGGCATAGCATAGATTTTAGCTGTAATTTAAGAAATATTTTTTTTGGTTTATTTTATTAAATTTAATTGAGGCTCATCGAATTCTAAAAAATAAAAATAAATGTTTATTGTTTAACCGTTAGTCGTGGTTAATAGAATTTGTGAGGTGAATAGATGTTACATGAAAGGGGTGAATTTTCCAAGTATCTATTCACGCTCCTTCCTCCTTCCCTCCTTCTTCGTTTCATCCCTCTTCTGCGTCTATTCACCTCTTGAATTCTCTTCATCCCGTTCCACCGTTATACACCGAAACGATTTAAGTCTCACCATAATTTAAGTCTTTAAATGACCAGCAGGAGACGGAGCAGGAAAGGAAAGAAAGGAACGGGGTGATTATTAGTCACTTAAGAGTCTGCTCTTAACTCCCCGCCGTAGGCGACAGTCATTTTGATGATTTTCTCAGTTAAAAAAAAAGTATTTTAACGTAACTCTTTTTCATCCCACGTTACAGAATGCCCGGAGGGTGAATATTACATCAAATGTAGCCTGGCGGAGTGTGTTCAGAAATGTGATCACTTGAGGCATCCTCCGGCTTGCCCGTCTCTTCTGCCAACTTGCTACAGTCCTGCCTGTTTGTGTAACGAAGGATACTTGAGGAACTCTAAAGGAAAATGTATCTCCAAAAGTGAATGTTGTAAGTATTAAAATTATAATCATCAACTGACTTATTTAGTTGTTTCAGGAACATGTTCAATGTATGTTCAGTGCTGTTTGCCCTGGTAAATACCCGTATTTGTGTGATTTGAAAATTGTCGATTCGAGTCTGCATATGAATAAGGAATTGTAAGTTTGTAAACGAATCCACGACACCATGAGAACATCCTAGTGAAGCAGCGATAGAAAAATATACAACAATATTAGATAGTTTTAGTCAACAACTGTGTCACGGAACTTTCTGACTCGCACACCAAAACTTTGGAATGATCTCTTGGCGGATCTTTTCGAACCTCCGAGACAGTAGCCTTGTCCTTCTTAAAAGGCCGTGAATACGTTTCCTCAGGTGTTGGTTTTGATCGACGCTTATAGTCTGTGATTCGTCTGCATGTTTGCCTCCTATTCCACAAAGAGAGGTACTTACCTAGTAGGGGTTTTTTTTGTGAGGGGAAATCATCAAATGACTTCTCCCGCCCAGGGCCAGGCGGGAGGGAGTGTCAGAATCGTACTGAATAAAACCCTTCCTTCTACTGCTCTGGGCCGAGGTCGCGTTGCCTCATTGCGCTTACCTCGCAACCACCTAGTAGGGCTTTTTTTTAAGGTGTAAACTTTACAGAGACGTGTGAATAATGTAAAATGATTGTTATGATTAGATTAATTAGATTAAGTTGTAAATGTTGTATATGTATGATTAAGTGCCAATTATGTATACTTATGGGGATAAAAGTGGTGAAGTTAAAAAAACCTGATAATTTTTAATACTTTTGGTTTCAGATCGAGAGCTGTTCAATTAAAGAAATATTAAACTATAGATAAATTCATTACCAATAAAATTAATTGTACAAACATGTGTTTTTCCTTGTTGCTTATAAGGTAACTTCCTAGGCTACTGATAAGGCCAATTAAACGACATATTAATTACATAATATCTTCATTTCAGTAACTAGGATTGGGGTTACTGTTAATTCTCTGTCCGAAGAGGAAAACAAATTGTTCTTGCCGATTACTGCATTTCACGACCACGGTACATACAATCACTTAACTTATTTAACAAATATGTTTAAAACCTAAATTAAAAGTGAATAGAAACTATCGATTACGTTTGCAATACTTATGAGCAAAATTAATATAAATTAATATCGCGATCCGACGCGGCCAATGACTCTGCGCAGCGCCGCATCGCCATACGTTTTGATTCGCCGAGGCTCCATAAGCTTGGATACTAAAGGACAAAATGTAAATAACACCTTGGAAATACACTAATAAAGTAACTTACTAATTAATTATACTCAGATTCGTGTACTAAATATAAACTTTATTGATGTTTACTTCAGAACTAAGAAAAGTTGAACTGTACGCAGCAAAACTATTGTTACATAGTTTGTGCCCTCTGGTAATTAAACGTAGTTATTTCCTCTGTGGACTTCATAAATAATAAAATATAACGCAGCCTTCACAAGTACATTTCTGTGTGCAACAACAGAATAATGAAAATTCTGACCTGCAACTGGAATTATGTTTCTAGTGATTTCAAGCTACCTTATAAATGTAATGCAATCGTAATGAAAATTAAAATTGTTGACCGCCATATTTGTAAAGTTATAATAAACTTTTTGATTAATTTATTTATGTAATTCTGTATTGACACATTCAGATAATACGATGTGTGTGCGACATGTTAACAGTGAACCCGCTATTTCGCTACGCGCATCGCGTTGGGAGCGCTTTACGGACGCAAATCAAATGTGTGAATAGTATTATAGTTCGCAACGGCTCTCGCATATGAACGTTGCGTCAAATGTTCATCGAATTCGGTCGGGGATGTGGGTCAGTCACAATAATGTACCGCGACCTCAGCCCAGAGCAATAGAAGGAACGGGGCTTTTAGTCAGTAAGAGACTAACACTCCCCATCTGGGGCGGGAGAAGTCATTTGATGACAAATGTAAGTGCCGGGTGACGCCCCGCGTTAACTTAAGAGCGGGCTTTTTTTGTGAGGGGTAAAACATCATATGCTTATCATAGGCAAGAAGGAGTGTCAGACTCTTACTGACTAAAAATCCCTCGTTCCTTCTCCTGCTCTAGGCTGAGGCTGCGGTACCCTATTGCACTTCTTGTTCCACAACCCCGGCTGAACATCACCCCTATAGGGCCCCGTCTGTGGTGGTCTCTTGGCTCGGGTATGGTTCTGGTGTGGTTATATCGTCATTGGTTCTGGTTGAGCTGCAGACGTTGTCTGCTCGACCCCCAACGCCTGGAGTGTCGTCTACTGCGGTGGCTGGGGCGTGAGGAGGATAGCCCTTCCACGCGGTCCACCTCCGTGTAAAATTTATAATAAGATGAAGAGTATTTACCAGCGAGTTATAGTATAATAGTGTAAAACTCTGTTTACTCCTGCGTGGAATAATGGACCCTATGTTGCGAATAAAGCAACCTTTATATATGCAAACTGGTTATATACAATTAAACAACAGGAAACTAGCATTCAGTCCAAAAAGGCTAAGCTGCCAAGCGCATTGCAACCAAAATGATAGTTAATTACAATGGCTTCAAACAAGAACTATTTTCAAAAAGAAATTGTTTCATCCAACGACTAACATAGTTACAGAGCATTCTCCTTTGTTAATAAAGTAATTACATATTGTTATACTGGCAGAGACAAAGTAAAAACTAGACTATTATCTACGCTGTGGCATGCATTGCGCTTGACAGTTCCTAATTCCACACACGACGAGTTATCGCTATGTATAAATAATTTATTTTGCAAAACTTTGTTTTGCACGTACGGAAAAATATTCGCTTTTTGTTTCGGAAATGCTATGAAATGTTGTTTTTCTATGTTTTTGTATTACCACTTCAACATTATTCTTTCAGATGGTAATCACAACACAGATACAGTTTTGGTCTGATAACTTCTCGCAAGAAATTACTTATATTTCAACATTTGATTCTATCTGCATTCACGATTGCGATCACACTACTTCAACTAACTGAACTATTTGTTGTCTAACAGGCCCATTACCAAACATTATTGCATTAGAACAGAAAATTAAAATAATCTACATTTAAAATAATCTACACTTTAATAAAACAAACCAAAAATATCATACACGTACGTTCGATTCCTACAATTTCCGTTTAAAACAATACAGAAACTGGCCACAATAATAAAAAATAAAAAAGTAAGCACACCAACTTTTTGCCGACCATCGACCGTCACAGTATTAACAGTATTTCAGCGGAAAATTTCAAACAGAAACACGACATTTTTGTGTACATTCGTGAGTGAGCTGTTTAAATATTTCGCGATATTCATAAACAGTTGAAATGGCTGAGATATTTTAAACTGCTTCATGAATAGAAAAGAGAAGTTTGGAATTATGCTTATTCTGAATTAGAGGATGCTTTGCTTTCTTTGTATTGTTTGCAGGTGTAATATAAAAAGCTATTCGCTCTTACAATGTTCTTGCTTAATGTTTTTCTAAAGGATAACGCTGCAGAGTTTTATAAACGTAAACTTTTGTAAAACTTGTAAAGATTATAAAACTGTTTAGTGTGTGTGTGTTATCTACTTGCAATGTTGATGATGATGATGAAATGCGATGCGACTCTCAAATAACAGCAGAACTATTTTGAACTTTTTAATGGCTAGTTATTTGGTATCTGCACAAATTTCTCGCTAAAAGAGAAGAAATCGTAGCCGTCCTTGTTCAATCTGGCGTCATCCGGTGATTGCAGAAGCGGCGGACATCGGTATCTCATGAAGCGAGGTGAAGCGTGAACCTCAAGATAAATTACGATGGAAAATTTCTGTCGATACCTTCTGTCCTATCTACGAAGATGGTTTATCAATGTGTACTACAAATATTTCGTTTTATTTAATAAAGCTTCAAATGTAAATATATTAAATATCATAAAAAGATTAAATTGTTCATTGTAAATTATTTGCTAAAACATGTACATGACCGTAACAGGGATAAAGCCATTATGCTACTAAAATGACAGCTGTCAAACGCTCCATTTCGCGCCAAAAGCTGACGGCAGTGAAACGTCGCCTTTCAGCCTATTTAAATTGTTCACGCTCGGATATCCGTACAGAATATGTACTCTGCAAGTTTCTATTGTTGAGCCTCAATGGAGCTACGTAATTTGCATAAGCAAAGTTGAGATTTAAGGAACAATGCCGTGCATTATTTGGCTGTAAAGTGCTAGTACAAGTCACGATGGCGTTTAATGCTTTATTGCACGTAATTCGTGCTTTGTTTTATTTTAATACTCTGATAACATTTGAACAATGTATAATTATTGGAGTTGTACTTTCAAATTGTGTGGAAGCACGCGATTACTTGTATAAATATTTGATCGAGTTATTTGGTAAATTAATTTGAAATTGTTGTGTGTTGATTTCATCGGGTCGTGGTTATTAGCTTTCATTATTCATGGTAGTTATTTTATTATTTTTATTTCATACTCAAGGTTGTACGTAGTTTATTATAAGTAGGTTTGAAGCTAAACTCCAATTTGAAAAAAGGTGGTAATTTTTATTGGGGCTATAAATCCTCTGTTAAGGCTGATCAAAGTTGTATTGAAATTATAATGGAACTAGTTCAATTAATATAATGCCACAAAAATCTATCAATGAAATCCCAAAAAAAAATTAATGCACTGAATTAATTAGTCTTAAGTGTGAGAGAGCTATACTTCGGCACGAATAGACCGGTTCGACCGGATTGATACAATGACCATACAGAAAACACGCGTGAAACAACCACAGCGTTGTATTTTGCCGTGTTAGTGCCTAGTGTTAGTGCCTTCCTCTCCATATATCCTTAATCCTTATTAACCCAAAACTCCATGTCTCCGAATGGCTGGCTCCATTCTACTTCAGCTCCACTCGTAACATTTGTGATATCCGATTGCACGGTTAACACGGTGTACACGGTTCCGATTCCCGCACTAAATACCTCTTTGTGTCCTATAAATAATCCTCAAATTGTTGTTTCGGGTCTGGGTATGACGAGTATGTAAGATTGTATGTTCAAACGCATTATCGACACAGAAAAAAATCTAGAAAAATATGAGACTGGCTCTTAGCCGCCGACTAAATCGAAATTTTTGTTTTTTTACTTGCTATAAACTAGTTCTTGACTGCGATCCCACCTGATGGTAAGCAGTGATGCAGTCGTTGATGGTAAGGCGCACTAGTTTATTAAGAGCCTATTCACTCTAGCCTTGAAGACACCTAAATTACATTTGGATGGAAAGACTGCAGCCGGCAAACTGTTCCAATCCCTCGATTTATGCGGTATAAAAACGTCTAAAATGAAATTCACCAACACGAAATCCATTGGGAAACTATTTCGTTAATTATTCCCTCATATCAAGGAAAGTCATTTGTTTGTGCAGGAAAATGAGAAGCACCGCATTCCTGTCGGGACGCTCAGCGATATGCATTTGTTTGTGTCAACGGCAGCTCAGCGCGACGCGACGATGGGATTTATAGTCCAACGAACGGTGAATTAGTTTCTTACAAAAATAGTCGACTTCTTTTGTTTATATTGGAACGTTCGGAGTTTGTTGTCGGTGATAGATTTTATGCTAGTTTTTACTTGGGATTTTATGGACCTGATAATACATATCGATGTAGAAAAAATTATTAACTATTTGTATAAATGAAACTTGTTTCACGTTGTCACGACATAACAATGACACGGCTAGACCTATTCGGCTGATTTGTTTTTTTTTTGGTTTTCTAATACTCTGTAGAAGGTTCTTACGAAAAAAAGAAACAAAGAAAATCTCTCAGAAAGATGGAAATATTTATTATTTTGCGT